CTCAACAAAATGCGTCACAATGACTTTCAATATTTGGGCTTTAACCATTCTATTGCTGGCGGTCAAATCCAAATGATTTGCCATTTGTATTAACTCAGTCTTTTTAAGGTTCTGAATCCCTTCAAAGTCTGGGTGAGCCACCAACGCTGCAACTTTCTCCTCCATCGTTACTAACACTTGGCACTTGATTCACAAAATAATTAACACAATGGCACTGCACTACACTGTAAAATTGTCACCACACTGAAAATTCGCTTGGCCTCACTGCACAAACAAAATATATAGGATGACTTACCTCAAAATCGTGAAACGTTGTTACTTGACACACAGGAAGGCTTGCTTGGCACATGGAATAGTTCTTAAGAAACACACAGAGACACTTGACACTGGTACCTAGGAAGGCAAGGTTAGATTAGCATAGTTAAGTTAAGTGGGACAATATTTCCCGGCACAGGCCCCCATAACTCTTTTGTTACCTATCGTACGTTACGGCTCGTGATCCTACAGCAGCCAAACTTTAATAAGTCTAGGGATACGACACAACTGCTGTTCTCAATAGCGAATCACCAGTATAACCCCTTGAATTGGTAATGAGCATAAAATAGAATCTTCATTTAGGACTGAAGAATAGATACACAATATGATAGCTATATATTCAAAACAGTATACTATAAAAACACAGATGGTAAAGTTAACTTGTAGAATATATGAAAAATATTTTCATGGCAAGTAATATATAATAGTAACTATGGCACAACAAAATATAACAGAATATAACAGACTTATCTCCCATATGTTACTCTCCTAGTCCTGTATCAGCTACTGAACTCTCGCTCTGTCGCCACCCACATTCTCACCTCCCGTCTGCCTCATCCCAGGATGAGGGATGGAAACTAAGGACTTTTTAATATTTTAAACTAATTGAACAACCACTTGTTCTCAAAACATATAAGACTGCAAGTTACATATAATAGTTACTTACAAAATATATAAGTACAATGACACCTGTTTAATTACAGTATATGAAACATTTCCTAACTAAATAAAAGTGACATCTGGAACTCTCAAACTGAACAGGTCCAGCTTTCCCGTATCAAACAAGTAATAGACGTGTGCAGAGACAACCGCTCTCCTGTCCACTGACGCTGCCAAACCACACGACAATTTACCCAAAACACAATGTGTGTACATATACATGCAATGATAAAATAAAATAATATTTATTTTAAATTTATATACGTATTCTGCTAGGAGTACGTAACAGAGTCCTCACCTGAAAAAACACACAAGGAAACTGGAAAAGGTTCAGAAGTTTTTAACGAGACTCGTTCCAGCGTTACGAGGGATGGGGTATGAAGAGCGCCTGAAGGAACTGAGCCTTACGGCATTAGAAAAAAGAAGGGTGAGGGGTGGATATGATAGGAACGTATAAAATACTCAGGGGGATTGACAGAGTGGACATAGACGAAATGTTCACATGGAATAGTAACAGAACGAGGGGACATGGGTGGAAGCTGGAAACTCAGATGAGTCACAGAGATGTTAGGAAGGTTTCTTTTAGCATGAGAGTAGTGGAAAAATGGAATGCACTTAAGGAGCAGGTGGTGGAAGCAGATTCTATTCATAGTTTTAAAACTAAGTATGATAGGGAAATAGGACCGGAGTCATTGCTGTAAACAACCGATGGCTCGAAAGGCGGGATTCTAGAGTCAATGCTCGATCCTGCAGACACAAATAGGTGAGTACAAATAGGTGAGTACACACACACACACACACACACACACACACACACACACACAGGAAAGGGACGAACAGGCAGACTAAATATTCCTATAAACTGCCCCTACAGGAAACCACTATATAAAACCGAATTCAAGTTAGATTAACCGTTAGGGTGCTAAACTAGGTTAAAGAACTATTACCAAAAAGCAGAGTGCGAAAGAAGTCAGAATAGAGGAGAGTACGTGAGGATTGCGAGGACGTTCTAGAACCAGCACCGCAGAGAAACAATCACATTAGTTGACTGAATGTTGAGAGGCGAGACCCAAGAGCTAACACCAACCCCTCCCCCCCCCCCTCCACAAGCACAGCGACATGTGTACACACTTGTACCACTGGAAGATCTTGAGTTCCACTTCGGGGAGGAAATTTACATTCAACTTGTAATTTTCCTTTTTTTCGAGAAAAGAAACACAAAAAGAGACGGTTGTTGTTGTTAAAGATTCGCTACTCGGAACAAAAAGTTCCAAGCAGCACGGGCTATGGTGAGCCCGTAGTTCCAAGAGACGATGTTTGGTGGCGTTGCGAGGCGAGGTGATCAGGGGAAAACACACACTCACATTATCACTCCTCTCAGCTGGTGGCAGGACAGGAGGACACAAACGTTGATTCATCTGTCTGTCCTTGTCTCAATCCTCCCGCTGCCTCTCTTTCCTTCCCCGCCAAGAAAACTCTGAAAGGATTCTGACCCAATCTCGTCTGTATATTATTTAGATAGTGAGGATTCTGACGCCCCAAATACGGGTTAGATACGCCCCATGTAATATGCAGGGCTTCCCACATGAAACGCAACCTGTCCCTCCACTTTCATCCCTCCCACTCTGAGTGTACACGCACGCGCGTGCGTGCTGAGCGACTGTGCGTGGCGTTACTGCAGCCTAGCAGCCTTCGTGTCAGCATGGGTGAGGCGTTACTGCAGCCTAGCCTGTGTCAGCATGGGCGAGGCGTTACTACAGGGTAGCCTCGTGTCAGCATGGGTTACCATTAGAAGGAATGCAGTGTCCACCACATCCACTACAACAGTGGATGTGGTGGACACATCCACTGTTGTAGATGTAGCCTTCCCGCCACACTTGCGACGGAGTGTTGACAATTTCAGAACTTAGGAGACACTCAAGGTCTAAATCTGAGAATAATCCGAGGCTCTCGTGCGATGTGTATCAGAGAGGGGCTCAAATGTGCTTGGCAAGCCTGCAGCGCAACCACCACGGGGATATGAGCCCTGGGGATGGACACACACCTGCTCTATAATCATTTTTAGCGCAGGCGAGAATTAAAAAATAAATAAAATAAAATAAATACAATAAAATGTCTATTCAGGTAAGGTACATACATACAAGAGATAAATTGATCGATTTATAGATGGAGCTAGTACATACATTGCCTAAAGCCACTATTACGCAAAGCGTTTCGGGCATTTTATATGAAGAATATATGAAGAATATTTTAATATTTTAATATTCTTCGTTTATATGAAGAATATTTAAAAAAAATCGTAATCAATTTGCATTTTTATCTCGTGTTTCCTTGATATTAATTTGATATCAATCGTCTCATGACTTTCTGTTCTCGTGTGTCATTATACACATAATATACATAATTATGTGTATAATGTCATACACATTATACACTCCTCTTTCAATGTGAAAGTGTGATTTGTGTAAAAATCCTGGTCCGGCTTCACTGGAATCCTCAGGAAACCCTTAATTGTGAGCTCAGTAGAACTCCAGTTTAAAATCTTTTTACCATGTCGTGGCCTGGTTAACTAGGGCGTGTGTGTGGGAACACCCCCCCCCCCCCCACATAGGTTCGAAGCCTCATCACAGCTCCATCGGATTTTCTCATTGACAAAGATTCTATAGAGACTTAAAAAATAAACAAACACTCTTCAGAAGTTAGAAACAGCAGAAGAAGAAGGCTTTGACGAAACTAATGAGAGAACTACTTCAGTGCCAGAGTTGTCAAGAAGTGGCACTGTGTGAGACGAAGATACGAGTCACTGCATTAAACCAAGAATGTTCCAATGGCGGAGCTTAGGAGTCAAATCTCGACCCTGCAAACACATCTAAGCAAGCACATCTAGGTGTGTACGTGTACACATATTTGCACCATGTATTCAACAGTACATTTACACTCCTCAAATTACACATATAAAAAGGTAAAAAATAAACTGATTAAAAAAAAATACGAATTTGAGTATCAAGACTTCCGCACATTTCTCCAGACTTTAAAATTCGATCATTACTAGTGTACATAACCACATACGCATTTTGTAAATGGGAAACCATTGGTGGATTTTATAATACAAGAAGTATCCGAGCCTCAACAATTTCTAAAGGACCTTTTTTTATATTCGTGGCGCGCCATTATCGTGCTGAAGTGAATGGACCCGGAGGACTGAAGTTCTGACCTCCTTTGGTGCCGCGGTCACTCGCCTGATGACAAGGAGACGTCCACGCTGGATTTTTGGGAGAGGGGGGGGAGGGGGGGAGACGGGGGGGAGAGGGGGGGGAGGGAGAGGGAGAGGGCAACCCGTTCTCGCAAATTTAATAAGTCAATATTGACTTATTAACTACGTGCATAGGTGATATACTAAACATAATAGATACCCCTAAAAAGATTCATAGAAAACACCGACCTTACCTAACCTTGTTAATATCTTAAGATAAGCATCTTATTGCTTCGTAATTACAATTATTACTTAACCTATAATAGTAGGTTAAGTAATCATTGTAATTACGAAGCAATAAGATGCTTATCTTAAGATACTAACAAGGTTAGGTAAGGTTGGTGTTTTCTATGAATCTTTTTAAGGGTATCTATTATGTTTAGTATATCACCTATGCACGTAGTTAATAAGTCAATATTGACTTTACGAATTTGCGAGAACGGGTTGGAGAGGGAGAGGGAGAGGGAGAGGGAGAGAGAGAGAGAGAGAGAGAGAGAGAGAGAGAGAGAGAGAGAGAGAGAGAGAGAGAGAGAGAGAGAGAGAGAGAGAGAGAGAGAGAGAGAGAGAGAGAGAGAGAGAGACAGACAGACAGACATAGAGAGAGAGACAGACATATAGAGACAGACATAGAGAGACAGAGAGAGAGACAGAGACATAGAGAGACAGAGACATAGAGATATAGAGACATAGAGAGATAGAGACATAGAGAGATAGAGACATAGAGAGACAGAGACATAGAGAGATAGAGACAGAGAGAGACAGAGAGAGAGACAGAGACAGACTCAACACAGAGAGGGTCCCAGCACTCCCAGCCAGTCCCCCTAAGAAGGGTTGACTTGGGACGTCAAGAGTACACCACTTTCCAATAGTTATCATAACGAGATATCTCTCATAAACTCACTGTCTGCCGAAAAGGCAGGAACATGATGTAATACATTTTCACGTGTCTCTCTCATGGTACAAAACAGGCTTTACTCAGGCATGGTCCTTTGATCTTTTCCGTAATGCATTAGAACACAAGAATATATGAAGTCTATTTTTTCCCCCCTGGGAACAGTATAGTAAATATTTCCGGACATCGGGTCAATGTTCGGTTAACCTTGGCCTTGGCTAAGGTTTCATTTTCCAGCGGACACTTGGAACAAAAATACTATTATAAGCTACTTTTGGTTGTTGCAATAAGTATTTACAAAGTATATACATAATATTTGAGGAAGCCGTAAATACCCAACTGGCCTGTTCAAGTCTATTGGAATACACTTTATTCGGAATTGACTTGCATAAAATCAACCAATTTTCAATCATGCACATATCTATAATACTTAAAAACTTACTGAAGCTTCAATAATGCCAGCTGGTAATTAATTTAAATCATTTACAATCCTATTACCAAACCAATATTTCCCTCTTAAATTGGAATATATTCTGTATATAACCATTGTTACCAATTCTGACCAGGTTTGGCTATTTCAAGACCTCGTGTCCCCAACATTAAGTAAGTAATTATCAAAAGATGACACTAAGCAGGGAAGACTATATAGCAGTCCCCCCCCCATTGTAATAAATAATAAAATAAAATAATAAAAAAAAATGTAATAATATAATACAAAGAAATCATCCACAAGTAGACTTCAATCATAGCTCCCCTTCTCCTACGTCTTTAAAAATGTAAGTTAAATTCTCCAAAGTTATCTTTATAAGAAAAATTCCTGACAACTGGGATTAACTTTGTCATCCTACTTTCGAGAGAACTTATGCCTATTCTGTAAGATAGTGACCATTCTTTAACAGCATATGTTGACCAGACCACACACTAGAAGGTGAAGGGACGACGACGTTTCGGTCCGTCCTGGACCATTCTCAAGTCGAACAGCATATCTCAAGTGAAGGGATCACTAGGCTAAACACAAGACAGTTTTCGATTTTTGTTAACAGGCTTAGAACGTTCCCTTCCCACAGCTTAAGCCTGACTTTATTAGCTTCTCCCTGGAACGCAACCCACCAATCACTTTACAACTAGCTCTCTAATTAAGGTCAGTAAGGTTTCCAATTACTGACTGATGAACAAGGGCGACCAGTTAAGGACAGGTTGGCTCAAGCACGTGGCCCGAGTGTGTTCACATCCTTACGCTATATATAAACATTCAAGCCTGTCACAGCTGTTTATTTCGTGCACTGATACATTGCTGTCTTAGTTTTAAGGCTTTACTAACCATCCCTAACCATCATGTTGTCACTGGAAGGTGTTAATAAACAGCTTCTGACCATCTCCAAAAGCTCTACTACCTCAAGATGTCTTAATATTAGTTATGTGTACTCAATTTTATTGTATTTAATTTGAACTTATTGTACCAAAGTTAAAATCTCCAATAATGAATATATTAATATTCTTTGATGCACTTCTAATTTTTGTCCATATGGTTCTGCTTAAATTTCAAGTCAAGGTTTGGTGGCCAGTATATTACATTTGTTATCAATTATTCATAACTAATAATTTTGCATGTCACCTAGGATAGATTTTCTGTTTAATGATGCAGTTAACATTTTCAGTTTGACAAACAACATGGACTGGACGGTAGAGCGATGGTCTCGCTTCTTTTAGGTTGGCCTTTAATCCCTCGACCATCAAAGTGGTTGGGCACTATTCCTTTCCTCCGGTCCATACTAAATCTTCATCTTCATATTCCTTCCGAGTGTAATATAGTCTTAATGGTTTCGTATTTTCTCCTGATGATTACCTTACCATTAAATTTCCCTTACCAAGACAACAACAACAACAACACCTGCTCTTCAAATTGTCCTGTCAGTGTGTGAAAGAGTTTAAAATCTCCCCCTAATCTGACACTCTGCTAGAAGGTCACACAATTCTATATTCACCCATGTTTTAGTGAGTGCAACTATGTGTTTGCTTCTATATAGTCAATTTCTACCAAATGTTTCTGTTGTAAATACTTATAACTGTTGTTAACATGTATCATTAGGCTATTTAATATAATTCCTTCTATGACATTGCTTTTCATCTTTTGTGTATTTCCTCCATCCTCTCATGATTCGGTTTAGAGTCCAATATACTACAAGACTATCATCCTTAGCCTGGTGTAACCCACGTAACTATTATCTCTCACGATGAATACCTCATTTGACATGACCAACATGACCATTAACTCTTGTTCGGAAGAATCCACATGACCATTATCTCTTTGAACTGCAATCCTTCCTTGTAGTTAAGCTTCTTGTTCTCCTGATACCAGCTGACTGTCTTTGTGACCTTGTTATGTTGTTAACTCGGGTGAACATTTTCAAGCGTGCGAGTGACCTGACCTGACCCTTGACCCGGCAGGTGGCCGGCGCTGGCGGGTCATGGATGGAGAGGGAAGACCGTCGCCGCCGTGACGCCCAGGACTCTGCCTGGCCTCCGCCCCGTCCACCAGACTTCCCCCCTTTCCCTGAGAGCCTCTGGGGCGAGAGCCACACCTGGGAGGAAGATCACCACGCCAACCCCTTCGAGGATAGCGCCTGGGAGGACGTTACATGGGAGGATAACACGTGGGAGGAGGAAAACAATGCCCACTCTGATGGGTGTGATTGTGGTGGGCCACCGCCTCCCATGTTCAACCTGCCGCCACCTCCACCAATCCCCAAGTTCCCTGAGGAGGAGGAGGAAGGGTCGGGGTGCGATGCCCCGCCTCCTTCGGAGGTGTGCCCCGCCCTGCTGGTGGCCGGCGGCGCCCACACCCACCAGCGACTACACCCTCCCCTGGCGGCGCTCGTCGTGGCCGCCGCCACCCTCACTGTCGTGTTTATCATCGCTGCTCTCGTCTGCTGGAGGTCAGGCACGCTTGTCGCGCTCACACACACACACACACACACACACACACACACACACACACACACACACACACACACACACACACACACACACACACACACACACACACACGCACACACACACACACACACATACACATACACACACACAATACCTTGTGCATGTTCTTATGTTTAAAGTTTCCACATTGTGCCATAACAAAATAATATATATTCATACTCCACCCACACCCCTACAGTTGTCATGCCTCTCACACATCACACAAGTCATCATATGCATGGCCTCTTCTCATAAGTCATACAACAAATGGTGCAATAAATGGCAACTAAGAGTAAAGCTGGCATTTAGTAACCAGGCATAAATTTAAGGACTTTATTCAAGTAAGAGGAATGTAATGAAACTAATTGCAGGGACAGAGAGAAGAACACACTCATCATGTTCATGGGTCCTCCCCATCATTCACCAGTGTATATGGGTCCCCTCCCCCCATCATTCACCAGTGTATATGGGTCCCCTCCCCCCCCATCATTCACCAGTGTATATGGGTCCCCCCATCCCCGCAGATACAGAAGACAACGGGCCAGACGCGGACCTTCCAAGTCAACAAGCGACCTTACCAACGGAGTCATCTACGAGGACCTGCCGTCAGGTCCCACGCCCAGGGTCGTGCCCTCTGCCCACACCCACGCCCGCGACACCCACACACTCGCCCCCATGGAGGTGAGTCAACCACACAGTCTATGGTGAATCTTCTCAACATCTGTAAGGTAGGAAGACTGCTCATTCTCTGGACACTATGACGAAACAAAGTTAGAAGGATTCATAATTTACTGTTTGTTATTTGGTGTTGATGTATTTATTTAAAATAAACTATTTTTTCATCATGAAAGTATCGACACCTTGATGGTTTGTCAACATTACATGTGATAGGTTTCTATGGCTTATGTCAGACTCAGCAAGACGCTCAACAAAGTCAAACACTCGACCTAGTGAACAACTGAACAAAGTCAAACCTCGACCTAGCGAACAGCTGACCATAGAAAACCCCCGCGATACAACAAGACACTCGGTTTAGCGAACACCCGACACAGCGAGACATCCGGTTGAGCGAACACCCAACCCCGTGAACACCTGACCCAGCGACACACTCGATATTGCCATACTCGATCTTGCGAACACCAGACACAGCGAAACATCCGCTTGAGCGAACCCCCTGACCCAGCCACGCAGGCACAAGCAGCATTAAACTCGTACCATGGCAACTGGGTCACGAACACTCAAAGGGACTCGTCACCCAACATGTAACTGTCCCTGCCACCAACAGCAAGAGAGGTAGCAGTCACCCGTCCCTCACTCCACCCAACAATACGATCACTCTGCTCTAATGTTAGCCCGGGATTACCTTTATTTCAACCTAGTTGTGTGTGGATTACCACTCTTTGGCCTCGGTTAGATGCGCATTTATGTGTGGTATTACTGTGTCTTTCCTACGCTCCACTTTAAAGAGACATTTCCTGTTTATTTGTGGCTATAGTTCCTTGACTGTTTGCTTCAATTATTTTACAAAATAGAGGGAATAATTCTGTGACGGGTAACTGTGGTATTTTGGTATTTTCAATAGTGCATTATTTGTGCTGTCCGGCTTTTATATTTTAGCTTACTAGATTACCTGTTTCTTTTTGTTAACGCTTGTTTACTAGTGGCTCACCCTAACAACCCTATTAATGCTTCTCTCATCCTAACAACAGCTCTCTAACATTTACAACAGTTACCTGACCCTAACAACATCCCTCTCACCCTAACAACAGTTCCCTCACCCTAACAACAGCTCCCTCACCCTAACAACAGTTCCCTCACCCTAACAACAGCTCCCTCACCCTAACAACAGTTCCCTCACCCTAACAACAGCTCCCTCACCCTAACAACAGCTCCCTCACCCTAACAACAGTTCCCTAACCCTAACAACAGCTCCCTCACCCTAACAACAGTTCCCTCACCCTAACAACAGCTCCCTCACCCTAACAACAGCTCCCTCACCCTAACAACAGTTCCCTAACCCTAACAACAGCTCCCTCACCCTAACAACAGTTCCCTCACCCTAACAACAGCTCCCTCACCCTAACAACAGCTCCCTCACCCTAACAACAGCTCCCTCACCCTAACAACAGCTCCCTCACCCTAATAACAGCTCCTCCACTTCATTGTTTATATCAGCGTTTTCTCTCCTCTCTCTCCCGTGTTCTTTACACTTTTACGTTCTGACACTATTCTCTTCTAAATTCTGATTCTAATCTTTTCTAAAATTTATCTCTAATATCTTTTAAATACTGCGTCTACTCTTCTAAGTTTTGCCTTTAATCTCATCTAAATTTTGCATATATTTTTTCTAAATTCTGCTTCTATTCTCTTCTAAATATTGCCTCAAGCCTCTTCTAAATTGTGCCTCTAGCCTCTTCTAAATTGTGCCTCTAGCCTCTTCTAAATTTTGCCCCTATCCTCTTCTAAATTGTGCCTCTGGCCTCTTCTAAATTGTTCCTCTAGCCTCTTCTAAATTGTTCCACTATCCTCTTCTAAATTTTGCCCCTATCCTCTTCTAAATTCTGCCTCCAGACTCTTCTAAATTCTGCCTCTAGCCTCTTCTAAATTCTGTCTCTATCCTCTTCTAAATTGTGCCTCTAGCCTCTTCTAAATTTTGCCTCTAGCCTCTTCTAAATTCTGCCTCTAGGCTCTTCTAAATTTTGCCTTTAGCCTCTTCTAAATTTTGCCTCTAGCCTCTTCTAAATTGTTCCTCTAGCCTCTTCTAAATTGTTCCACTATCCTCTTCTAAATTTTGCCCCTATCCTCTTCTAAATTCTGCCTCTAGCCTCTTCTAAATTCTGTCTCTCCTCTTCTAAATTGTGCCTCTAGCCTCTTCTAAATTTTGCCTCTAGCCTCTTCTAAATTCTGCCTCTAGCCTCTTCTAAATTCTGCCTCTAGCCTCTTCTAAATTTTGCCTTTTGCCTCTTCTAAATTTTGCCTGTAGCCTCTTCTAAATTCTGCCTCTAGTCTCTTCTAAATTTTGCCCCTATCCTCTTCTAGATTCTGCCTCTAGCCTCTTCTAAATTTTGCCCCTATCCTCTTCTAAATTCTGCCTCTAGTCTCTTCTAAATTTTGCCTTTGGTCTCCTCTAAATTCCAGAACTCCATTGTCACCGGGACTCGATCTAATATCGCCCGCGTAGAAGAATTTCTTGATTACAATTCCCCGTCAGGGAAGCGTGAGGCCATTCCTACTTTCAACAGCTCTTTGGGAATGTAGGTCATTCCTGCACCAACATGGCATCATAGTTTTCTCCCCGCTTCTGTCACCATCCCACACCCACACCTCAATCCCCATTTCCCATAAAAAACCATCCCACAGACTGCACCACAGTCTTGCCCTTCCATCTTCCCTTCCTTTATCGCTTTCCCTCCACCCCCGTTTCCCCTCCCTCCCTCTCTCCCATTATATCACACCACAGACCTCCACACCCTTATAATTCCCTCCACTACGCACCTCCAACAGGCCACACCACTAAAATGAATTTAGGAGTTTGTGAAAAGCTGCAAGGAAGCAAGGACGATACAGACCCATGAGAGATTAAATCTTACTGACACTCAATTACAGGAAGACATCTGGGAGGTTTGGGATACAATTTAAACTCAATTTGACGAGCGGAAGATGAGAGGGTTGAGTGGGAAGATGTTATGGACGTGTTAAAATGCGTGGAAGCAGAATACTACATCGTTTTCACATAGGATCATATGAGAATTATGAGAAGACTAAGAGTAAATAGAAAAGGTGAAATACTGAAACGAGATGACATCTTAGTTTCTATTACTAAGTAAACATGCTTTGGAATACTCATTTTATTTTATTTACCTCTTCATCTAATCTTAGACATAGAACAATTAGAACAGCGAATCTTGAGCCAGCATACACACAGGAAACGAAGCACTGGAGACAAAGTAGATAACCGGGAAAGTGAGAATCATTGAAACAGAACAAATAAATAACTAAACCACACACCAGAAAGTGAAGAAATGGTCGTCGGTCCTGGACGGACCGAAACGTCGTCGTTTCTTCACTTTCTGATGAATAGTTTGGTCATCATATCTTCAGCCACGTTATCGTGACGCAGTCGTCCAACACGCTCATTTTTCCGCCACCCCTCACAGTCCTGCGGCTACCCTTCCATGAAGTACACCCTTCCCCTCTCCCATTACCACCCACTAACTTCCAACTATCCTACTTCTTTATGACTTTTCCCTTTCCCTCTTATATCCCATCCACTGCTGGTTTACCATGATATATATACTCCCCCTCCCTCTCTTCTCCCACCTTCCCTTGCTCTCAATAATACGCACCTTTTCCCTCCCTGTCCCAACATAAGCCTCACCACAGCACCTCACTCCTCTACCCTGCTTCCTCCCCCTCTAATGCTCTCCCCCTCTCCCTTTTGATCTCTCCTTCCTGACGAGCACGAGAGCCCTCCCACCTTCATCTTGATCCCAACACCATCAACCTCCCCCACTCATTTCCAACGTATAACCATCACTACACCTCTCCCCCTTTCCCACCGTAACCTCCTCGCTGCCAACACCACTTCCCTTCCATCCCTTACTCCTATCACTCCAGAGACACCAACTCCCCTTCATCCTCTCTCATCTCTTTCCCTTGATGTTCCACGCAACGCCGACCAGCACACTACTCCTCTTCCGCAACAGAATTCAGTGAAGGGTTCAGGACACTGACCAACACCCAGTGAAGGGTTCAGGACACTCTGACCAACACCCAGTGAAGGGTTCAGGACACTGACCAACACCCAGTGGGAAGGGTTCAGGACACTCTGACCAACACCCAGTGAAGGGTTCAGGACACTGACCAACACCCAGTGGGAAGGGTTCAGGACACTGAACAACACCCAGTGGGAAGGGTTCAGGACACTGACCAACACCCAGTGAAGGGTTCAGGACACTGACCAACACCCAGTGAAGGGTTCAGGACACTGACCAACACCCAGTGGGAAGGGTTCAGGACACTGACCAACACCCAGTGGGAAGGGTTCAGGACACTGACCAACACCCAGTGGGAAGGGTTCAGGACACTGACCAACACCCAGTGGGAAGGGTTCAGGACACTGACCAACACCCAGTGAAGGGTTTTGGAGACACTGACCAATACCCAGTGAAGGGTTTTGGAGACACTGACCAACACCCAGTGAAGGGTTTTGGAGACACTGACCAACACCTAGTGGGAAGGGTTCAGGACACTCTGACCAACACCCAGTGAAGGGTTCAGGACACTGACCAACACCCAGTGGGAAGGGTTCAGGACACTGACCAACACCCAGTGGGAAGGGTTCAGGACACTGACCAACACCCAGTGGGAAAGGTTCAGGACACTGACCAACACCCAGTGGGAAAGGTTCAGGACACTGACCAACACCCAGTGGGAAGGGTTCAGGACACTCTGACCAACACGTTTTCATATGTTTTCTAAATAGTCACCTAGTTCATAAATTGGATAAGATTTAGAAAAGACCTGGGTAAATTGTGGTTTGGAAACAGGTTAGTTGATTTGTAGAACATATTACCGTGTAACACAATAGACGAAGGTTCACTTGATTGTTTCAAGTGTAGGCTAGACATATACGAATGAGTTTGAGTTGATATAAATAGAAGCTGGCACATATGGATCAAAAGGCCTTCTGCAGTTTCCTTAACTCCTATGTTCTTCAATTGGGAAACAATAAACCTCCGAGAAGGAAGAGGAGATATGGAGAACAAAGTTAGTAGAAGCAGAGATGAACTTAAGAACACAAAATAGTGTTGAGGGAACAAGAAAATATAAGTCTCCAGCCACACACAACATATATGAAATATGAAATGCCGCTGGAAATGAGCAAGCACTAACAAATTTAACACGATAATGGGTACAGGAGGAAGAGCGGCATATTGTAAAGAGGATGACCATAAATTCAGAGAATTTGTAGAGCAAAAGCAGTCGGAAAGAGCTCATGGATAAATCTCTACAGGATATGACAAGATAAAGCAATGAAGCTGAGGCTTAGGTTGATACCCCTATACAAGACCTCACAAAGTATAAGCAAGCAAATGGGTTGACAAGAGGTGTCTAGCAGGAAAAAGAAGGGAGGCATGATGAAATGGTCAAGGTATATAGAAACCAAGACAGAACAGTGTCACAGCAACTATAATAAAAGAATGAGTATGGGATATCGAGAAGAGAAACAACATGAAGGTGACAATATATCCAAAACAAAACACCAACCTTATCGTATGCATAGCACATAATAACGAAAATGAGAGTCTTGTATCAAGCAATCCCAAGTCAAGCCTGGCCCAGGCCGGGCTTGGGGAGGAGAAGAAGAACTCTGAGAATCCACTCCAGGTAAGATCGCCAAGCAATAGTGAACAAACAAATAATCATACAGAAGAGGCAGGGTGGCCACACACACAACACCAAGGAAATATGAAACTAACTAAAAAGATTCCATGAAGTATTTATAAGAGCCTAGAACTTTCAGAAATTCTGGAGGATAGGAACGTACCCAATGGAAGACCGAGTGAAAAAAGAGGCGAGGAATCAGCTGGAATAGCTGAGTATGTCAATAGCAATGAGATCAGTGGGAATCTCACCATGAATTCTGAAGGGAAAGTTACAGAACGGAGCTACCCGTTGCTTAAAGACATGGAAGACCGTAAATGGGGGATCCCACATAGGAGAGGGGAGGAAGACAGAGCCACTGAACTGCACACCAGAGTTACACTGACAACATTTCCCCTGGAAAGTAATCGAGACTTGTAAAGTGAAGAAAAGCGGAACACTTAAGAAAATGGGGCGTTGTCTGGTACCATTATGGATTTGGTGAAAGCAGATATTTTTAAGGAGGGACTTGAGAGCTAGTGTTCGACCCTGCTCCTCGTATCTAGGTAACTATAATATTTCCAACCCACAGTAATTTCCAAGTCCATTACCTTACCCACACACTCAAAGACCTCACCAGAATCCCCCTCCTCCACTTCCAAGCAGAACCCCCCCCCCCGTCCTTCTAGGTCACACCAAAGTCTCCCCACATCCCCCCACCTCCACCACACACCTCCTGATCCCCACAACCTCCCCCACAGCGACAAGCCATACACCTCTCACCACTTGCTCCCTCGAATATCATGGCGTCTTTTCATCCATTTTCTCGGATATTTTGACATTCTTAATGTAATCCACCCCAACACTCATACTCTCTCTCTCTCTCTCTCGCACACACACACACACATACACAAACACACACACACACAAACACTCAAACACACACACACACACACACACACACACACACACACACACACACACACACACACACACACACACACACACACACGCACGCACGTGAAAGAAGTCAGAATAGGGATACATTTAGATCTCTGTACACCACCTACACGAGTCTAGTGTTAGTGTACCTTCCCATCGTGAAGCCACCATTTTAAAAACATAAGGAAACTCGAAAAGGTTCAGAATTTTGTAACAAAGCACGTCCTAGAATTGCGAGGGATGGAGCATGAAGGACTGAAGGAACTAGACCTTGACGACGAAGGAAAAGAGGAGAGGGGAAGACATGATAAAGAGATATAGAAACACTAAAGGGGACTGACTACCAGTAGAACACGAGGCATTAATGGGTGCTTAATGACGGGTTGGGTGACTGGGCGAGTCGCCCGCATCGGATGGCTGACGATGTTCAGCTGCACATGACATCATTGTCGGATATGCGGGTGGCAATACCTATATCTGATCCTGGTGTATATAATACATTGAGTATGCTTCAAGTTGAATTCCAAATTAATAAAGATTTGTATGGATATATATTGATATTTTTGGACTGCAGGAGGTAACACACATATACATACATGCTATATGGTCAGTCTCTGGATCTAGCCATATGCCTGCTGCAGACATAGGCACTGTCAAAGGAAGTCCTCTACATGGGTAGCACCCACCGCTCGAAGGCAAGCTTTCTCCTGCTGTGATCTTGCAGCATTTTTTGTATTGATTACAGAATGATGAACATGATTAGTGGTATTATACAAAAAAATATAAAATAGCTATAAAATTTGTTATCATCATCACAGTCCTTGCTTCACAATTCTTGGTGTGTCACACATCTTTCCACATCAGTTTCTGCTACATGACACAGATTTTGACACATCACCACTCTTAATACATCACAGTTCTTGCCACATCACTCTCCTAGCCACATCACAGTCTGCGTTTCCAGACATGTTACCTACAATGCTGCTACACGATACCTACAATACCTACAATGTTACCTACAATGCTGTTATCCCTTCCGTCCGACCACAGCTGCTGGACATGAAGTTGACGTCTCACGTGCACAGTGCATCATCGTACGGCGGGGCGGAGAGCAACGCACCGTCGCTCCTGCAGCAGTACCAGACGCCCCAGGCCCTCACCCCCACCTTCGCCCACCCCCACAGCTCCCCACAGTACTCCCCCAAGCAGCTCTACGACGCCCACCGCTCCAGCAGAAGTTCCCAAGAGATATATAACCCAACCTACGAAGAAATCTCCACAGGTGAGTGTGTTCTCCGAGGCTGCTGGCGCGCCTTCGTCTCCAGCCGCCGCCATCCTCTCAACTTTTATGGCCTAGTTGACCAACAGTCATAGACCTACCCTAGGTCTATGACTTTTTTTAACACCCTAGATCTATGGCAATTTTTTGATATCCTAGGCCTAAAGCAATGTTTTGATACCCTAGGTTTATGGCAAATGTTTGATGCACTAGGCCTATGGCATTTTTTGAGACCTTACACCTGTGGCAATTTTTGACACAAGGCCAATGGCAATTTGTTTTTTAAGTAAATGCCACCACACGAAAGCATGTGTTGCTTTGACTAGCGTTTCTGTTTGATTATAATGTATTTTACTATACAGTATTATTGTGTTACTGTATTCTTTTGTATTATTCTCTCAAGCTGCGGCTGACGGGTTGAGTGTGTCGCCCTCAGGTAGCGACACCACCTCCGTCAGCAGTGCCAGCGTCAGCTCAGAGGGCCCCGGGGCCCCGCAGGTTCGAGAGCGGCTCGGGGAGGGCCCGGGGCCGCCAGGGATATGGTCGGAGCCCGGGAGCTGCACCTGCTCGGGCCGTCGGGTTCCCCAGGGGCGGAGAGGCCCGCGCGGGGGTCGCTCGCGCAAGCCCCGCGCGACCAGCAGTGCCACGAGCACCGGCACCACCGAGGGCAGTGAATACCACGAGGCCCTCCTGCCGCAGCTGGTGCCCTCGCTGGCCCTGAGGGGCAGCACCGCCGCAGCCCGCCACCCGGCCCTGCCCTACACCATCCAGGGCACTAGCGATGGCCGCACCTCCACCTCATCCTCGTCTGACCTGCCCGTCGACCGCTGCCTCGCCCCCCGCGAGCCGCGCTATTACGTGGGGGTGCCGCCCCCTATCACCCGCAGCCCCAGCACCCCCGAGGGCCACGGCCCCCCGGGGCTGCACTTTGGCGACTCCATAGAGGGTTCCTCAGGGGCGTCGACGTGTGGGGGGGAGAGGCCCTCCCCGACGGAGAGGGGGCTGCCCCCCCTCCCCTCCCGCAGCGACCGCTACCGCATCTACTTCACCACGGAGCGGCGGCGCGGGGCGGAGGTAGCGCCGCACCCGGCCGCAGCCCGCACACTCGACCCTGCCGCCAGGAAGCGGCAGCGACGTCACGACGCCGCCAGCTCTAGGGAGAGCGAGCCGCTCTATCACGAGCTCTAAGTATCAGAGCATCACTCACGTTCTACGGTCCTCTCACTCACGCTCTACACCTCTACATTCTCTACTCACCCCACCTTACCCCCCATCGTCCACCCTTTTCTCTTCCCCTTCGCCTCACACCCACTCACCAGGATGGAAGGAGAAAAGGCAGCTGACTTCGTCTCTGCTGCCACCAATTATCGCCCCCTAAAGCCACGAGTCACACACACACACACACACACACACACACACACACACACACACACACACACACACACACACACACACACACAGTGAGAGGTGGGGAGGGGGGGGGGAGAGAGCGTACGAGGATGATACTCATATGTAGGGCTCTTCCATGTTATTGACATCAGAATATTTGTTTTAATATTTCCTTTACCAAAAAAAATACGAGACGAAGAAAATTAGTTTCGTCACATAGGCCAGTGTAGCTCCGATAGCCCCAAGAGGTGGTTATCATTTATGTGTAAATACACCGCACACTCAACTACATATACACCACACACATACCCTGTATAAGGTGACCTAATATCCCACATACTGTGCCCACACACACACACAGTAGCATCCTCCAGTGGCATTACATGTTCACTTGTACTGAAAAGTGTTCCACTTTAGAACTTAGCATCTTATAAGGAGCGTGTACCAGCTCTACTCTTGTGATAAAACACTCTTATTCAGGCCCCAAGGAACTCCCATAACGTGCAAAATGTGTATGTGAAACGAATTTTTTTTGTTTACAGCCAGGAACTTAAGTTGACAAGTCAACTCAAGTTGACTTAATCATAAACAAGTATATATGATAACTATGGCCATTCCCAGAAACAAACAACTCTGTTATTGTTTTGATAAAAAATCATTAAATAACATAGAACCCGTTCTTGTAATCCATTCGATGATCCAAAACATTTCGGAGCTAAACAAAACCAATGACGTTCTTAGTGGAGTTGAATCAAATTATATTTATATCCCAAAGAAAAACCACAAGTAATGAATATAAAATTATTTTTTAAAATTATTTATGAAACATTTCAAACACGAAGGAAAAAAAATAAATGGTTCTCGGTGTTCAGGCAGCTGTGATGTTTGTTAATGAACTTAAATATTCGCTTTACTAAAAAGAAAAAATACAGTGATTGTGAGAGATTGTGATAGTGAAGTACATGTGATGGTGAAGAGGCAAGACTGGTAATAGACAAAGAATATGCTTGTGTTTACGCCCCCCCCCCTTCCCCCAATGGAACACCAATAGTGTCTAACAAACTTTCACTATGATCATGATGATAATGACAAAGCAACAGAAAAGGGGGCGATAGTGATATAAAACAAGCAAATAGGTAAATAAAAGACAAAATATAAACAAACTATTTCAGGAGAGTGAAATTGAGGGTTATGAAAAAAAAACTTGCTCACCTGTACAGAATTACCCAAATTACCAAAAAATATTTATAAATATCTACTGAAGAAAACAGCGAAGTCTTACAAGGCCACTGATAAAACATGAGAGAGGCAGTAAAGATGTATGTGTGTGTATGTGTGTGTGTGTGTGTGTGTGTGTGTGTGTGTGTGTGTGTGTGTGTGTGTGTGTGTGTGTGTGTGTGTGTGTGTGTGTGGAGGTGTGTGTGGGAGGGGGGGTTACTGGGGTGGGAAGGTATTACGAGCAGAGAGAGAGAGAACCTTCTTAAAGGGATGAGCGGTTTACCTGGAGTAGTCACCACTGTTGCCAGTGATAATGCACATATCATGTATCTCTTCCCTCTTCCTCCATTCTCACACCTGGTTTATGACACGGTCCTTCCATCTCTCTCTCTTTCTCTTTCTCTCTCCTGTCTTGTCTTTTACTCCTTCAACTTCATCAAAACCTCTACCACCTCTTGTTCTAGAATTTCACATAAATATATATATATATTTTAAAACACTTTCCTATTACTCAGTCACAACTTAAAAATAGTATCACCCCTAATTACGACAAAATTCCAGAATTTGAGCATCTCTTTCAGTAAAAAAAAAAAAAATTGACTAAAGAACCCCATACCCAAACTCCACTTAGGCTCAGGTTCTAGAAATTTTGTTAAAATCTGCAGCTCACACTATTATATATATATATATATATATATATATATATATATATATATATATATATATATATATATATATATATATATATATATATATATATATATATATATATATATATATATATATATATATATATATATATATATATATATACATGTATATATATATATATATATATATATATATATATATATATATATATATATATATATATATATATATATATACTATGTGTGTGCCTGTGTACAATAATCTACATTTTTGTTAATATTTCTCGATGGAAAATAAAGACTTTTAAAGTTTAGTATATTGTTTAGAAACCAAGAGCTTGTGTTTAGCAAGCCATAAATAGCCAAAGCATCCATATAACCAAACCAATAATCAAATGTAAAGGTGCAATCGATTATCACCCTTATGAGGCAGCAGCAGCATCTCAAGGCTCATAAGAGTGATTATAAATTCACCGGTCTCCTTGTTTCTGTTCTATGTCCCTCGTGTGAGGTCATATATTTGTGGAAGGGTGTAAATATATATATATATATATATATATATATATATATATATATATATATATATATATATATATATATATATATATATATATATATATATATAAAGGTTTGAATCTGGTCATCAGAAAAATATATATATTTAGAAACATGATTAAAAACTGCAGTATGTTAACAGACAAAAATATGGAACAAATTTAACATTTGCCAGGGGAGTGGTGTATGAGTTTTGTTAATGGCAGTGTATTTTGTACGGAGTCTTATGACAAAGAGGCAAAGGGGGGCCCATCGTGTTATGCTAGTCACTCTAATTTGTTGTTACTGAAGAGTCAACTACAGCCTTGTAAAGCGGCGGGGTGCGTGGGTGGTGAGGCTGCTCCGTGTTGCTTCGCGCGGTATGGAACACAGCTTCAATGTTAACGGAGCAAAGTGTTCCTTATCTATTCAGCCAATATGACCCACCTGTCCAGCAATCAAGGAACACGAGGGGGGGGATGGGGAGGGGTCGAGCAAGATGTTCCTGCAAGCAGTACTAACACCTATCCACCAGGTAAGAACAGGAAAGAACAGGCAACAAGAGAGGTAAGAACAAGGTGTTCCGTGTTCCCTGCAGGCAGCACGGAGCAGCTACCCTCTCTAACCCCTCCAGTCGCTAGGCCAAGAGGAACAATAATATTCTTTACGTGATTGTACTTAAAAAAATTATATAGAAATCCTGTATATGTGATAAATTTTCTACGATTAAATGACTTAAGAACTTAGTGGTTTCCTTGGCAGATTCTGATGATGGCATTGCTGGTAACAGAGCAATAGTGAGGAAATATTCTCAGATTAAAAAGATGAGATGTATGATTTATTAAAACAAATTTGATTGTAGCTTATATCATTACTGTTGTATTCCTACACTGACGTGATGATTTGAATGGCTGTGTTTAATATTTAACGAACGATTGTTTTATTGAAGCGTGGATGTAATTTTCAATGGGCATTTGAATAAAAATAGTTTAATTAGTCTTTATTTTAAATATTCAGACATACCAAACTGTAAACTGCATTTAATGAAAATTTCTGGTCTGCGCTGAAGCATAATCAAAATGTATAACCCGTTAGCCAAAATAAACCAATGTGTTGACAAATTACGTAGATCAATTTAGTGCCGTATTTACACAAGTGTGTTTAAGACTCAACGAGAAAATATTAACAAACCTGAGACTATTTTAAAGACTGAGACTGTAAAATGAATATTTTACAGGCCAGTGTCGTGATGGCATCCCGAACGTTATGGTATATAATGGTACGTTGTGGTACGGTATGGTACGTAATGGTACGTTGTGGTACGGTATGGTACGTAATGCTACGTTGTGGTACGGTATGGTACGTAATGGTACGTTGTGGTACGGTATGGTACGTAATGCTACGTTGTGGTACGGTATGGTACGTAATGGTACGTTGTGGTACGGTATGGTACGTAATGCTACGTTGTGGTACGGTATGGTACGTAATGGTACGTTGTGGTACGGTATGGTACGTAATGCTACGTTGTGGTACGGTATGGTACGTAATGGTACGTTGTGGTACGGTATGGTACTGTGCCTGGAGTCCCACCGTGTCACTGAGTACGCGAGGACAACCAGTCAGAGAACGTGTGAGTGAAAATCATGAAGGATTCTAACCATTCTCCGGGGCAGAGGATAGTTAAAGAGTGAGATTATCCCTCTTAACTTGTCACAAGGAATAGTTGGACTATCACTATAACTGTGTCGATACAAAACCAATTTTAGGCTTTCGTATGACTGCGAAGAATGAGTACCATTAAAAAAGCTTATTCAAAAAAGTGGATAAGAGTACCTAAGCAACGGAAAACAGAGCCACATAAGGGAAGTACACTTCAGAGAGAGAGAAGTTGTTACCAGCGGAGTACAACAGAAAGGAGTACATGAGCTTATGTACTGGTTTGTGTGAATAATCTCTCACAGGGCACAAACCTTTTCATATTAATACATGCTTATAATACAAAAAATATTATACTGGACAAGCTGAACTTTTTTGTCTAACAAGTGGATGTAAGAGTTTAACTCAAGCAACAGCAAGGTAATGATGCTGGGCGCTGTCAACAGGAGGCCAGATATAGGAACATGAGAATAAAGGAGACTGGAATAGGACTGTTCAGCTATAAGAGGCAGCTCCTATTTATATCCACTCAAAGTTTATATATTTATAAAACACTCTTAAGCATTCGTATACATGTTTATTCTACGTTTGAAACAATTCAGCGATCGTACATCTGTTAGATTACCCAGAATTTGTTTCAATAAATCAGCCTATTTCCTATTTCCACAAAAACCCTATTTCCCAAAAAGGTTTTTACCCAAGTCTTTCCTGACTGTAAACTTGTCCAATTAATAGCCTTCTTTTCGAGTTCTATTTTATGATGACATATTTCAAATCAGTTTTGCCCCCCCCCCTCTCTGTTATACCCTTTCATCCATTTACATACTCTAGTCATGTCTTTCTTCGTCTCCTTTGAGAATATAAATTAAGCTTTTTTTTAAACGCTATAGGAAAGATTTCTAATTCCTGAAATTACCAAATGGAAGGGAAACCCCATTTTTTTATGTCTGACAGTGGAAAAACAACTGAAGGCAGACATCACACTGTTTCTCATTTCCTAAAGCTCATATCAAGCGGATATCTTCAGATTCATTGGTTGATCAACACAGCTTAAAAACTACTTTAAGGAATCTGAACTAGTAGACATTCAGGACCTTTATGTCAAATAATTTCTTAAACATTGGTACAACGTCTGGCGTATATCCGTTTAACGAACGAAGCTGGAGAAAGGGATTTTGGAGCCGCTAAATAATAACCAAACAATTACAGGTTAAATTACATATAATATATAACAAAATACTGTATGTGGAGAACAAAATTCCCTTAAATACAATGTTACATCTCCTCGTAAAATATTACGAGGAGAGCTTTGGCAGCAGGACTGTTCCCAACAGTACTCCAGCTGCAGTACTCTTTTTATATACTGTTTTATGTAGTTTTATATTCTGTTTTACACTGTTTTATACGACAAAAAACACATTTGCCATCTCCGACTGTCTCCGTTTAAAGTGTTGCCTAAATGCAAGATTACACTTCTTAGATTCAATTCCACTCAAGGTAAGTTCGTTTTCAGAAGAAAACACTAAGCCGGTATAGCCCTTACAAGGCACATGGGGGACAGGGAGCTGGGATTATGAGGACAGGGAACTCTGTCCATCCGTTGGAACTGTCGGGGATCGAACCAGCAAGAAGCAAGGCCTTGACTTACGGAACACTTCTCGCAGATACTGACACCCGCTGCGTCTCAGGATCTGCGCATTGCACTGCATTGATCACATTGCATTGTACTGAATCGCACACAACACTGGACACATTAGTATATATATCATCGAACCTACTAGGTTCCTCAGATTCGATATAGGACTACGTAACTATAACTCACTCACTCACTAACTATAACTCTTAACTCACTCGTTTCCTACTCACTCTTTCACACACTCATTCACTCACCCTCACACGTTCACTCTCACACGTTCACTCACACTCCCATGCGCTCACTCCCCAAGTGCTTTTTTTTTTTTTTTTTTTTTTTTTTTTTTTTTTTGAGATATATACAAGAGTTGTTACATTCTTGTACAGCCACTAGTACGCGTAGCGTTTCGGGCAAGTCCTTAATCCTATGGTCCCTGAAATACGATCCCCTGCCGCGAAGAATCGTTTTTTCATCCAAGTACACATTTTACTGTTGCGTTAAACAGAGGCTACAGTTAAGGATTTGCGCCCAGTAAATCCTCCCCGGCCAGGATACGAACCCATGACATAGCGCTCGCGGAACGCCAGGCGAGTGTCTTACCACACCACTGCTTAATTTTCTAAACTTGTCTTCGTCTTCTACCTTCTACTTACCTCTGCTCATATCAACCAACATAATCACCGACATACACCATCACCACAACACCATCATCATCATCCCACCATCACCGCAACGCTCGGAAAGTGGTAATTACCCCCCCTTAAACCTCAAAATACGCGAGAGTGAACACAGTTTCTGAAATGGACATTGAAACACTCTCGTACTAAATAATACAGCCAGGCCTCATCAACACAGGCCAAGTGCCCGTTTACCCAGCCGCCAAACCCCCTGTTTATAAACGACAAAACAGTTTACACGCGACTCACAACTGATGACGTTCAATCATTTCTCTCACGGTGCTTCGCTGCCGACCACGTTCGAACCCCAATAATGTAAATGCTTCACCCGCGTATTCAAATACAGATAATCGCCAACAGAATCTAAACACCTGACCTAACCTATGCCTAACTATACACAGAATTGTATTATATAATAACACTAACTTATATACTAGAACAAACCTATTTTTAATACACAATTACACACAGAAATCACAA